TGATAGTCTTGCTTAATGCAATACAGAATGAATATGAAAATAATTTGCCTCTGGATTTGACCCACAACTGTCCTTAAGAATTGGCATCCTTCCTCTTCAAATTGTTTCTCCTGATCTGTAACATTACAAACACAATTAATCACTATGTAGTCACTTTATAAAGATAGCTTTGATTATTCTGAGCTTCCTGCAACTAGCAGGTTTTGGCAGAATCAGCAAATTCTGAGTGAGTCCTGTTTCATTATGAGCCACATCTACAGGAATTAAAGTGTTGCTAAAGAAGGGAGGGTCCAAGAATGATGTGAGCAACTGAGAGTACGAATGTTTCCATTTTGTTTCTTTGTCCAAAACTTTGGATGTCTGAAACTTAAAAATGGCTTTTTTTTTTTTTAATTTTGAGCACACTTTTACATTTGAAGTCTGAAAGTCACAGGTATGTCATGCTTGCGGAATCAAGGTACTTACTCATGTCTAACTGTTTTATTGAATCTGTTGGTAGTTGTTTGAACAAGTAAACAATGGCTTTGAAAATAAGTAAATCAACAGAGAAGGTGAATGCTGTTCAGAAGGTGCAGACTGGTCTGCCTGTTGTTCAGTTAGTCAAAATAGTGATTTTAAATCTCAATTAGAGAAGTCTCAGCGATCTTGGTGGGCTTTTATTTGGTCTGAATAATAAGCTTTGCTCTTGTAGTATCTGTGTGGTAGTAATATTTTTGTGATTGCAGCTGTTTAGGTACCACTTCAGTGGTCTGAAAACATCCTATGCCAGCACATCAACTTTGAGTGTGTTTCATCTATTAAATTCCGGGTTGTGGCTGTCCTCTGTGAATCCGCAGAAGGCTTTATTGAGGCTCCTGATTCTTCTTTTCTTCAGAGGGTATTACCTCAACATGACTGCCTTGTTTGCCACTTGCTAGAAAAGAATTTGTTACTAGTGGTACCTGTTCTCAGGAGACTTTTGGCTGTGGAAAATGCTTTCTCATATTCCTGGTCTGCTGGAGCCTGTTTGGCTGCCTTGGAGACCAATTTGAAGAGATGTTTTAACTTGGTGCTGTTATGGTTGTAGTTGTGGTGCTCTGTCTTGGCAGAATGTTGATCTAGGTTAGGAGTGTGATAGTTCTTGTCCTTTAAGAGTAATTCTGGATCTTATATCTCAACTTGTTACAGTTCTCCAGTGGTATAACAGGAAGAACTAATGAACAGCAGAAATCCCTCCATTGTTTTTGCAAGACTGTAATGAGAGGGTCTCCTCTTCGGTTGAAATGGCTGGAGCACTGCAAGTAACACTGCATTTTACGTTCTGTACTTAGAAATTATAAAGTCTTTAATGCAGGGGTGTTCTCTTGCTGTGTGCTCACATGAAGCCTGGCACAACAGGTTCTTGCAGTCTCTTGGGACTCTAGGCACTACCTGAATGTGTGTAAGAACATTTGTGTGATTTCTGAGTGTAAATGTGGTTGTGTTCCTTTTCAGCTGCAGAACAACCTGGCTCAAGCAAGACCCAGTTTTGAAGCAGGTGGTAGTACCCAGACTCTCTGCTTTCTTCTGTTGAATTCAAACGCACAAACAAGGTATCTCCTTAATAGAAAAAGGCATCTGTACTGTGTTCTCCAAGTGCTTCCTGTACATGTTTATGCTTGTTTTCTAAATATACCCTTCCTTCCTGTGGGAAGCAGATTAGAACGAGAGGGGAGTTACATCTGGGTAGTGGATTTGGCATGTTTGTATATGGAGTTTTACATGATGAAAGGTGATTCAAGATCTGGATGAAGTGAAACTTGTGGGAATTGTTCCGTTTCTTCTTCACTTGGCATTGTTTGCAAGTCTTCTTTATGATGAGTGCTTTTGTTCATCCTTTTGAAGATAGTTGTAGAGGTCACAGTAGCAGAAGGGAAAGGCTCTGACTATGCCTTCCCACACATGCTCTGAATAATGTATGTGTGTTAGATATTACCTCAACACTGGATTACAATGAAGATAATAAAATTCAAGACTTCAACAAAACTGCAGCTAAGACAGAAATTTGCTCTCTTTTTTGCGTGCAGTATAGATTTTGCTGGGTTACGTTATCCTGTGAGCAATAATCCTAATTTGACTGGAGAAGGACAAGATGAGAATTTGAACTGCTGCTATTTCTTCATCCTTTGTCAGACTGCTAGTCAGACAGTAGTCTGTTGGAGAACAGTCTGACTCTGTTGTAGACCAGAGAGATGTAAGAAATGCTCTTTATCAAAGGTTTGGCTAGTCTGCTCTGAATACCAAGTAATGTTCTACTTCTAGCTCCTTGCACTCAGACAGAATAACTTATAAAGTAGGTGGACAAGTTGGCTTGGTGGAAGCAGGGGTTCAGCACTTCAGGCCACGTCATAAAATGACAACAGTTAAATTGTTCATCTTGGACCTGTTTTGTCCATGGACCCTTTCCCTCCGGGGCAGTTCATCCAGTCTCTGAGCTTTTGGTCTGGCAGGATAAGCTTCCACAGTGTCCTTGTCACCAGAGGTAGTCCTGGAGTATGCAAAACACCTCAGCATTGCTTGGATGGCTGAGGCACACTGACTTTCAGTATCATCAGAAGCTCTTTGGTATACGGTCACAGAAACAGAAGCATTTCTTTGAAAGCTTGAAAAACCTCTAAAGCATTTGGCTGAGCTAAAGGCATTTTCTTGTCGTATCGGCTGTTACTTAAGTACTGGTTCATTATAACGAAGTGAATAATGAGAATGAAGCTGTGATACCTTTAAAGGAAAAGCTGTGTTGACAGAAGTGGGCTACGCAATGATATGAAGTAGCAGACCAGAAGGGTAATAAGAATCTAATATAGCAAATGTTTCATGCCTGTCTGATGGCAAATCTGGTTGAGACTATAGGTTGAAAACATCAGCTTTTCAGTAATTTGGTTTATGTATACATGACTAGTGATCTTCCTGGTTTCAAGGAAGCAGTTCTCTGTAATTTAGAAATTGAATCGAACTAAAGGGAACTGAAGTAATGTAGTGAGTTTTAAACACCAGACTGTAAATATAGCCAGCTGGTGGAGTGCAGGAGAGGGTTGTGAAGGACTATGTCAGCTGTGCTAAGATGCAGGATTCATCTCCTGTCTTTTTGCTTAATTTTTAGTCTCTGTTACAAGCTCTGAAATCATGTGGTATTTCAAGCGGAATAAAACCTGTCTAGGTATGACTTGTTGACTTGCAGAAGGTCAGGTCACTAAAATGACTTGTTTGACACCTTCTGGAAATTAAGCACCTCCTTCAAGCAGACGAGCTCTGTCTCTGAGCAGCTTCCTGTGTGTCGTTTCCATCCCAGTTCTCAATAACTTCTAATGCAGGCTGGGGAAGAGCCTAATTGGGGAAAGCTGGAACTTGCTGTCAAAGGCTACCCTTCTCTTTATGTTAAAATTCAAAACTATATGAGCGTCAGTTTGAGTTAGAAAGAAGCTGTTGCTTTAGAAGTTGGTAAAATATATGCTTTTATATTATTGTATTTAAGAACTCGCATATTGTCATCCATTGTGATGATTTCTTAATGCATTCTGCTTAAGACTTGAAAATGAGGATTTACTATTGTCTTGAGGCTGAGTGATACATTTTTAAGTGTTTCAGTAAGTTGTTAAAGAGAAAGGGCTCTCAAAATAGCACTTGTCAAATTTTCAGACAACTTGGGAGTTCTAAGTGATACTCATAATAGCTTTTACTGACAAGTATTGACAAGAAAAATACAGTGAAGCAAAGAAAGTATTTAATGTATTGGTAGATTGTTGTGTAATATTTTTCTGCCTTAAAGCTTCTCCTGTGTTTTAAAAGAACTATAGAAACAGTGAAAGGCAGAAAAACTGCTGTTCACAAAGAGTCTCTGTTAAAGGAGAATTGCCAGCAAACTCTTTTATCGTTGTTGTTTTTAGGGCTTCCTCTTCCTTCATTACCAGTGTTCTCATAATTATGCTATTTCTGGGGATTTAGTTTTTTCTGTAGTACAAGATCTTTATTTGTATATTTACTTAGAAATCCTCCTGGCTGTAAAATGTCTTAGCAGTGCTTTGCTACTGCCTTAAAGACTTTGAGCCGTGATTTTTTTTTCTTTAACTATTAGAGCCAACTTGGCAGGATATGACTGATGTTATGGAGAAGTGCTCGTGTGAGTAGAACGTGGAATCCTTTAACCTTTGTGGAGTTAGGTTGGCGGTATGGAATAGCCTCTGGCAGAGAAAGTGCATGGCAATGTTTTTATTTAGGCCTTCCATAAGAATATGCAGGTGTTTTTTCTTTTTCTGCCATATTATCTTTCATCAGTGAGTTATCTTTGACTAAGCTCTTGTAATATCTGCAGCTGCCAATGCAAGAAAAAAAATTCTAAATGCCATAATTGATGCTGCTTTTGGAGCCTAAGTTATCCACTGATCTGTGGTTTAGAAAGGCATATCATGGTTCTGTGAGAAATGCTGGGGTTTTTTTTGTTGCGTTTTTTTTTTCTGTCCTTTTGACAGCATAAACTGAGCTAGATTGCTCCTTTGACCTGTTAATTCCTGTGGTTGCTTTGTTTCACGGGTTGTTTGAAACTTCCCTGCACCTTCCTCCTGTTTTGGAAGGTTATTTTCTTAAGATGACTTGAAAAAATCTACTTGTAAAACAGTAGAATAGCTCAAAGAATCGCTCCCTTCTGAGGTCTGTAAATCCTGTCTTGCGTTATGTTGTGGGTAGCTCATGGTGGTTGTTGACAGGGTTATTCACATGCTTTGCCTTACTGTGTTGTGAGAGGAGGATTCAGTACAGATGCATAGTTATTTACTTCTGGTTTTACACTTATCAAGCCTCCCCAAATCTGTTAATTAGCACTCAAATTGTCTGTCTTTTTAGGTTTCCTCTGATATTTGAGGGAGAGGTGGCAGCCTGTGATGAAGACAAGCAGAGAAACTTTTGGATAGCTTAAGAACATAAACACACAAGAGCATGTTCATTTTCTCCTGAAGTAAAGTAATTGATTGTGTGTTAAAGGCACCTTTATGTTCTGCCACACAGAGATGGTCAGCAGTCAGCCTCTCCCCATAGCAGACAGTGGGAAAAGGAAAAAGAAAAAAAGAACCAGAGCCACAGATCATGTCCCTGGGAAGTTTGAAGGTTGGTGGCAACTTCTAAGCTTTTAGTTGTAATGATGTGTTTTCCCTCTGCTGTTCTCAGTTTTCTTAGCTAAACATTGCTTTTTGGCAAACATTACAAGATAACGTTTTTGTTTTCCTTTTTCCTCCATGTTTTGGTCTTCAGTCTTTTTTTCTTAAAGCCTTCTAGGTTGAAACCTTAAAGCCTTCTAGGTTGAAACCTTCAAATTTCAAGTATACTTAAAACACTATCTCTGCAATTAGATTTTGTATGGTAGGCATTTTCTAATTAAGGAGTGAAATGTTTTTCACTTGGAAAAAAAATGGTTCTGAGTTTTACCTGAAGACAGGAAAGGTGGATGTAGTCCCAGCAATTGTTCATACAAGAAATATTTTGTATCTCAGCAAACTTGTAATTTTGATGCTGGTATGAAGTGTACTTTAAATTTTCCTGGAACTTGAAGTGGGGGAGGAAATGAAAAATGAGACATAATTAAGACTGGACATCTACTACAGTACTGCATAAATCTATTTTCTGTCTTCATTAACAAGGAAATTTTTTCAGTTGCTGTCATCTGAGGGATGCTCATCAGATAAATAGCTTGTCTTGATGTTATTCACTGAAATGCTTTGGCTAATGTGTCCTATTGGCTGGATGTCTTTGGCAGACTTGTACAAGCTGACTGCTGAGCTTCTTGGTGAGGGAGCATATGCCAAAGTTCAGGGTGCTGTCAGCCTCCAAACTGGGAAAGAATATGCAGTAAAAGTAAGTACAGAATAAAAGCAGAATTGCTTCTGCCTGTAACATGTCTTCTCCCTCCTAGTATCTCAGTGAAAACCTGTAATAAAGTGGGTAATAGCTAAAGCTTTTACGATATTTTTGATACTTGGAATGAGCCTGCTTTAGAACCATTGAGATATCTGTCGTCTTAAGTACTATGCCTCCGTAGTGGACTGGTATATCCGCTGCAGACAGAATTCACAAACAGTAAATGACTGTGTGATGGTTAGATCTCAGGGCAAGCTTTCCTCTCATGCCCTGATTTGGTTGTAGTCCTACCAGTTTTTACCTCCTCTTCCAGAAGAAGAGGCTGAGTCATTATCTAGCATGGCCTACCAAATAATGCGAGCTTTTGAAAGTGCTGCTCTGAGTTCAGAGAGCATCAGTTGCTGCCATTAGTTCATGTAAAGGTGTCTCTTATTTTTTGATAGAGGTGAATCTTCTGTAATACTGTTACAGGAAGTGTTAGGGCCCATTTACAGATTTGTGGTTATCCTGAGTCCCTCATTTAATTACAAGCACAAATAATAGTAATAAGAAAGCTTTATGCTTGATTCCTTTGAAAAAACCATAGGCACAAAATTTTAAGCCCCTTTAAAAATCTAGTCCTACAGATGCTATAATTTTGTCCATACTTTGTAGAATTGTTAAAGTTGAAAGTCTGGAATGAACAAACTGCTACATTATGAATTAGACGTGATCAGATACCAAGTCCCATATAGTACTGGTGAATGGTTGCCTGTTCTGTACTGGAGGACTCTGGCTGTAAAAATGAGAAAACAATACTGGATACAGGTGGTGGTAGCATTTGCAGTAACGTCACGAGCTGTCGGTTCACGTAGCAATCATTCAGTCTCAGCCTCTGTGGAAAGCCCTTGTCCTCCTTCTCTTTCAGTCTGAGGAGTGTGTGTGAAGGAAAGTGACTTCTGATGGTAGCACAGAAAGGCTCTGAAATTGAATGTATGTTTTCTTTAATACATTAGGTTCTATTATTGCTTCTTCATGAAGTTTGCACTATGTACCAAACTCATTTTGTGGTGAATTTAGTACTTTTTACTTAAATGCCTATAAAGACAAATCCCTTCTTTTTGACCGTACAGTGTCTGATGTGACTCAAATCTATTTTTGTTGGAATTCAAAAGGATATCCTTTTCTGCACGTAGCGGAGTTAAAATGATGCAAGAAAAAGCTTGTGGTAACTGTTCAGTGACTGTGTAACACGTGGATTTAGTTGCCTTCTCTTCCGTCCTCATTTCTCTTGTCCTTTGAATGCCTTAGAGAGCTTTGCTAACACTGTAAATAAATGACAGATGAGAAATTAAACAAAGATAGATGGAGTGTTTCTCTCTGGCAGGCATGCCTGAGATTCAAGCTTTGGATCAGTTATCTAATTCCAGAGCCACATGCGCAATTCCTGCCAGTAATTTTTCAAATATGAGCTCTAACTCTTTCCACAGATCATTGAAAAAAATACTGGGCATAGTCGGAGTCGGGTTTTTCGTGAAGTAGAAACGTTGTACCAGTGTCAGGGTAACAAGTAAGTATAGTGTCTTGTGTGTGTTTGTTTATTTATTAAAAGTATCTTTAATATTTTTTTCAAATTTTAAGCCTCTTACGTGTGACTAGGTTAGGAGTTTTGCAGTAGTCTCCTTATAAAACCAGTTGAAATTTGGACTTGACCTATTCAAAGTAAGAATTTCCCTTTCTCTTACCTATGAAATCTAGGGAAATATTTACAAGTTAAAAGTCGCATAACTCAATTAGCAACCAGGTCGGTGTAGCCTGATCTTGCTTCAGTGATGCATGGTTTTTGTCTGAATGAGGAATTAACATCTTGACACTCTCCTCCGTGATTTCATCATCAGCAAAAGCTGACCTGATACCAGCTGCTGTTGAGAGGAACAGTCTTGCTGTTCCTTAATGTGTGGTTTGTCTCCCTCTGTGTCAGCCTTCCTGCTTTTGCACTGGAACTCTTAGATAAACCAAAGCTAATTTAGTTTTCATTTGGATGTGTGCTGATTTCACATAGCCACAGGATGAAGTAACTTTAAAGCTGCTATTCCTGTCTGAAAAGGAGGAAAAGCCTACACAGCCAGTGGCAGCAAGCTCTAGGATGAGTTTAAGCTGATTCTGAAAGTACTCCTTTAGATGTCTCCGTTAATCTAGAACGTATACAGCAGCTGTTACCTATACTACAGTTGTGGAGCTCATGTCAAGCCTTTTTTTACAAAATTTTAAAGGTAATTTAAAAACAAACTTGTTTATCAAACTCATGAACTTAAGTTGTGCTATAGATAAGCAGATTATATCTTTGTTCTGTATGTGGTTAAGAGCATATTGTCATGCAGTACATATCTGATGAAAAGTTCAAGCTCTCATGGCCATGTGCAGAATTTGGATTTTGTGTGTACTATAAGTATAGCAAAATCTGACCTACAGGTTCGATGTTCTCAAGGCATCATGGGGTGCTTGTGTTGCGCTGCAAAGGCTGTACGCTAGCGGAACAGGATGGTAACGAATGCACTGGATTTAATGTCATGTTGACAGATTCCTGTCTCCTCCGAGTCCTGTGTGTTCCGCCTTGTGATTTCCAGAGAGAAAGAATGCCAATTTAATTACCTTTTTTTTTTGTTCTTGCCTTCAGCACAAATGCAATGTTCTAAATTATTAAATACAACCTATTACGAGTTATCTTCCTGTCGATTGAGCAGTAGCAGAATTCTTTCACAATCCTGTCCGGTTTTGATGCTTGGCCTGTTTCCCCTGCTTAAATTTCAGTGTGAGTTGGAATCATGTTTTTAATGCCATAAACAATCAAAGCAGCTTGCTAATTTAGCACTTTTATTTTTGGTTACTTCAGGCACTTCCTAATTATCCATGTTGAAACTCTTTGTTGTTCTGTTTATACTTTATGCCTGTTTCTTCTATTTCCCCTCTTTTTTTTCTTTGTTTTTTTTTTTTAAGGAACATTTTGGAGTTAATAGAATTTTTTGAAGATGACACAAGATACTACCTTGTCTTTGAGAAGCTGCGGGGAGGTACTGTGCAATAACTTGGTCTTGTTTTTCTCAGTGTTTTAAAGTAGAAAATGACGAGCTTATTGTAAGTGCTTGAGAATTTTAAGACAAAGAAGTAGAGGAAATAATATAAAAAGCTTGAAGTATGATTATTCTTGAATATAGATGAGTCTGTTCATGCATTTGTAATCCCTTCCTGTAGTTAAGTGATGGAAATGTCAGCTCTATTAAAGTGGAAGCTTTGGAATATAGTTAGTAGGTCACAGTACCTTCAGGCAAGGGGAGACACACAGTATGTCAGGTGTAATGCATGATCTTAGTACAGCATCTATATACTCTGATAGCATCTTCCCTTGATGTAGGATTTACTTTGTTTCCTGAGCTCACAAAGCGCTGTTGGAAAAAACATCTTGCTACTGCCTCGGGTTGCTGTAATTGTGAAGCAGTCTGCTTGTGGCTGTCTGAAGGCCAATCAAGTGAGCACGTGGGATCACTTATCTCTAGGATTTAACACTCACTTGGGGAGTGAGAAGGCTACATCCAGCGCTTTGTGGACTTTCTAATGTTTGTCTGCCTTGAGCATAATTACAGTATTCATTAATTGCATGGCTGTGCAAAAACATAAGTTAAGTGTGGCCCACCCTTCAAAGGAAAACAGAGTTTCTGAAGGAGTATGCTACCATCTATAGAACATCATCTATTGTCACTGGTCAAGAAGGTTTTCAGTAGCAAGCCATACATGCAACAAATGCATATTCTTTCAGTGTAGATGCAGAACTTTTTAAAAAGAGAAGGACGTGGGTTTTTTCCTTGAGTAAAAGCTTTTGTTTACTTTCCCTTAAAATTACTGCGTCATTTCATTGTTGTTTCCTCTAATACTGTTCTTAATGCACAGACTTCTCTGACAAATTAGGTGTAATAGGACTCAATTGGGATGAATCTGCATTTGTCTATTTTCCCATCTCCACATTCTTCCATTAGTTAACCCTCTATCTTTGTGAGACTATGGTTGTCAGTGTGCCTGCGCAGCTGCTGGGAGGATAATAATGCTGCATCTTTTTCTCTCTCTTAGCTACTGTTTTTACAGTGGTCAACTAGGGCTAAGGCTAGTTTGGTCTTTGAAAAGCTTCAGTGTTTGAAGTGTTAAGTATGTGGGTTTGAAGAAAGAAATAATGGGAATTAGAGGTCAGACCAGGTTCTGATGCGTTACAGATTCTGATATAAACAGTGTGACTGGAAGGAATGAAAATATTAATCTTCAATGCAAGCCTTGCTTTAGTAACTCCAGTCTCAGACACCAATGTTACCTACGATGTTGGGGCATAACTTGGGCTTCCTATTTGCAGCTTTGCCTTCCTGTAGCTGTGGTAACTGAAGGAGATCTGCTCCCATTCTAGCTGTGTTCAGTTCACTGTGATATGCAGAAGCCATTTAATATCCTTACCTGACATAATTTTATAATTGAAAGTGTTAAAATCCAGTTTATTATACTGAACTTGCATGATTTAAGAGTCCTTTCCTCCCTCTCTTCCTCCCCCCCGCCCCCCACCCTGGAATGCATTTTGGGACGTGCTATATGATGCCTTCTCTCTGAATAATGAAGAGGTGGTAACAACCGTGGCAGGAGTGCCCTGCTATTCTTTCTGATTGTGGGATTCCTCTATGTGGGCTGAATATACAGTCTGTAGAGTATGTTTTTGTTGATATTGATATAATTCTTATCTGAGAGAGTTCAGAACATCAGCTCTATTCAGAAGGGTAATCTGAAATAAACCTGCTGAGTGAAATGAGCACTTCAGGTGGCTCAGTATTGTTTCCTGCAAAGTCTGGGCTCTTTTCAACAGGGATGGAAACATTCAAGAGCTGTTATTACTTTCTAAAGGTGTAAAGAACAACTACCAGGAAAACCCTTTGAACTCTGTGCCCTTAAGAAATCTGTAGCAAGCTAGAAAGTGGTGTTTTCGACAAGAGAAGCCTTCTGTATTTGAAATCTGATAACTTGATGCAACGTGGCCTTCCTCCACCCATCTGACATAGCATATCTGAAGAGTCTTTTGTCGTATCAAAGTGTATCTGAAGATCTTTAGTCCATCCTTCTTTTTGAGTGTTTTCCTCTTGCCTTTCTGAATCCTCACTGTGGAGGAGTAGCAGCAACATTGATGGTATAAGACAAGGAATTACCGCAGTAGAGAATGGGAGGTTTCCTTCCACCTCTAGAACTGAAGAAGAAAAACAAAATCACCCGAGATATAAAATGTTTACTGTATTGGGGGCTAATAACAAATGGCAGTTACTTCTTGAATTTCTCTGCCCAATTGCTTTTATAAATATACCCCTTTGAGTAAGAAAATGTAAGACAGTAGAAAGGCTGTTTAGTGGGCTTGGACCTCTGTGGACTACATTTAATTGTTGGGTCTTTTAAAGACATTTTTCATCTTTTGAGAAGATTGATGGAATTCACTTAAAGGAGATATGGAATCAGACCTCCCTTTATCCTTTATTAAAGGGATACCAGTGGAGCTCTGCCTGCAAGCTACCAGTCCTTCAGTGTGTTCAAATTTGAGAGATCTTTTGTCAGATTTCATGTGCCTGGGCAAATTTTGCCCTAAGTCAGTGTATGAGCCTTAATTTGATGTCAGTGGGAATTTTAATGTATATTTAAAGGTAGACTATCTTTTTATTTTGATGATGTTGAGACAAAAACCTCTGTATGCTTGATTTTTCAGTGCAGGATTTCAATGGTGACATTACACAAAATGAGGATAGTTAGTTCAAGCATGGCCACTTGTGATCTGGGGAAGGTGGATTTTGCTGAAGCGCTATGTGTGTCCTTAGCTGATGTTTGAGTTTTACTGATACTATTAGCAAGTCTCTACTGTTCACAGTGTGTGAAAAATGGACCAGTCATGTGCTGAGGCAGTAAAAAGCAATTGCCTCTCATGCTGTGCTTAAACTAGAGGGATGCAGTGTTTGAAAATTATGTTCTATTGTGCTTAAGTATTGAAGCTGCTCAGTTGTACCTTTTTTTTTATAGTCATTCCCCTGTTCAGTCCACAGAAGTTGCCTGCTGTGAAAGGCTGTTACAAAATATGAGAAATGAGTTTATGAATTCATGATACTTGGTACTAGTTCATCATTATTTTCTTGAGGCTCTTTTCATATTTAAACATGGGATTGTGACACTTCAGTTTCTGCCATATAGAATCATAGAATGGTTTTAGAATAGAATATAAACATAAAAGGACAGAGTGTTAGTTGTGAATAACTTTTCTAAATTAGTTCTGGTCCTGTTCACACTGAGATTGGTTCTCCCTTTATGGCAGACTGGTAGTGGCTGTTTCGTTTTTATCCCTGTATTGACAAAGCCTTTTCTCTGCTCAGACGGCATTCATGCTAAGGTTTTTCCCTTTCACTTGTTGCTCTTACAGGTTCAATCCTGGCCCATATACAAAAGCGAAAGAACTTCAATGAACGAGAAGCTAGCAAAGTGGTGAGAGATATTGCCTCTGCTCTGGATTTCCTTCATACGAAAGGTAAGAGAAGGCAGTGTCCGCTTTCACCTAAGTGCACAATATGAGCTAGTAATGGAGCACATTTTATCTGTAAGTAGTCAGCCTTAACTTTGCTAACATCTCCATTTCCAGCAATGCCAGATGACTTACACTGTTTTCCTCTATAGAACTATTTTCGTAATGTGCTGGTTTAAGTACAAAGCTGTGTGAAGATGGTGTAGCCTTTTGAAGAAGGAAAGTTGAATTGGCATCTAGAGAGAATTAACTTCAAGGTTGAATCTGTTTGCATGTTTCTTGTTACCTAAACCACCACATAAAGGTTACTCAAAAGGAAGCTAATACTCTTTGATTTCCTCCTCTTCTGGGTCTACAGAGATGCTTTTGTATATTTGTCCAGAACTTCTGCTGGTTACAAGACCTCTTTGTTTGTAGTAGTGTCTCTGCATTTAGGCCCCTACTGTTGAGCTGGGAGACCTACAAGTGAACCATAGTCCTTGTTTGAAGGTGCCCTCATTTCATTAGGGATTTGCTCAGATCTAAAAGCAGTTCTGTTTGTAGAGAGTTCTTTTATGGTAAAATGTTTTCCTGCTGCTTTTTCTACTTGGGAGTACTTTTCTTCCATTTCAAAATATCTGTGTGTGTTATGGTCATCTCAGATTATACGTTTCTGTTGAATGTGATAGGAAAGATTTTCAAGCTATCTGTGTCATGATTATCTGGTCTTGCATAGATGAGGCAGCTTCAGTTAATGTTTGCTTTCATTTGATTACTGTGACTATCTCTGAATAGAACAGCATGTAATTGGAGACTCTGTTTATTGGGTATTTACTCTGTTTAACTTTCATCTCCATTCATTTTGCCATTATGATTAGCCAGGTTTTACAAACGCTCAGCAGATCTGTGTTTGCTGTCTAACTTGTTTACTACTGGCCCTAGTCCAATAAATGCTTAATTATAGGCTTCACATCTAAGTCACAGGACTGCTTATGTGCCTGAGTTGGAATTACAACATTGGTACCGCGATAGGTTGATCGCATTAAAAAAGAGAGGTGGAACAATGCATAAGGAATAAAGAAAGTGGTAAACCTGAGGAATATGGATCTTGTCCCATGTTATGACTATGTTACTGGAAGTTAATTTGAATGTTGAAACAAACTTAGTTTGTATTGAGAATTTTGGTAATCCTCATAGCTTCTCTATGCGACAACTCAACTTTACACCTGCAGAGAATGTTCTCTTGGAATACCTGTGTTTAGAAGATTTTTGACTTTGAGATATGGGGCAAATAAGGAACAGGAGATTTAGGCTGAACACGTGGAGAAATACTTATGCGATATATTAGGTCTATAGTAGGTTGCTTAACAGCTGAAAGTCTAGGAACACTGTTCAAGGAAGTTTAACATCGACTCAGCTAAATCTTTCTGTAGTTCTCTCAGCTTTTAGTTTCAATTCCCCTTTCTCCAAACAAGATGGGAGTGATTCATTAAAATGGCTTTAGAGCAGCAACCCACTTATCATTTGCTGTGAATTGGTACAGTGGGGACATGACTTGCAGAATTGGCTACACCACCATCCCCTTTCATTTTATTGTTCTCTTTATGATTCTTCTGTGTGACATTAAAATAATTAGTAAGTAGCATACAGAACACTAAAGTAAACAGGAAATTAAAGCAGTTTTATTGCACAACTTAAAAGTGCCATAGCTAGATGCTGTAAAAAAAAAAAAAAAAATTTGAATGAGGACAACTAATTCTTTTGCCAGGAGTAGTTTAAAACTCAGCTGGATGATAATACTGCCTTACACCCACTTGAGATATGTGTGCTTTATTGCTAATAATGCACTGGAGGAGTGTTTAAAGGTAGTTGTTTTCTCAGCACTGTGTGCAACTGCAAAATAAAATGTTATATAATCAGACTTTCGAATTCAAACTATAATACCAAAAAGTGCTGTTGGGTTTCACTTTGCAAGCCAAGCCAACTGTGGGGAGTTTTGTCAGCCTTGCCATCAGTGTCAGCACGGACCATCTTCGTTTGGCATGTTTCCCATCTTCCATATATAAGCAATGTGAACTGCATCATTATGAAAGCTCTGATTCCTTTAGATCAGTGCTCTGCTGTCCTATTAATGTTATATTTAAAGTCATATCTTGTGGAGTGTGCTGAAGAAAAGACATTAGAAACTCCCTTACCTAGAATTCGGTGGGATATTTTTTTCTCATACTCTGAAGTATCAGGTGTGCTTGGAGTGTAATTTTTTTAAACAAAGCTAAACTACAGTTAAATTTCCTCATTTGATTTGATTTTTGGTTCTGCCTTCCCATTAAGTTTAATCATACTAAATGGAGAACTTCCAGAAATTCTGTGTTTAGGCATTTGAAGAACTGCTTTGACAACATACAACTACCTTTGCATGTGAATTCAACAGGTAGATAACTTTGCATTTCCCTGTTGGAGTTGCCTTTTCTGATAGTACTTGAATTAATGTAGAAGCCCTTTGGTTGTTCTCCTCTAGCCTTTCATTCTACATCTCCAACCATACTCTTTAACTTTTATCTTACTTCAGGATTGAGTACGTACCTCACTTAAAGGGATGATATTTTCACCTGGGAACTCAGAGGGGTTTTTTTAGGGGAGAGTGTCTCAGGTATTGTCTGTGCTGGTAGGAGTTCAGCAAACCAACTGATCCCTCTAGAAAGAAGGACCTTACTGTAGAAGGCACAAAAATCTTTTGACTAAACCATGTACACAAGTAAACTTTCCTACAGGTCAGTCATCTTAATAAGCTAGTTTTAAGTAATGTAATTAATTTGGGCTAAACCAGAAAGTTCCTGTGTTACCAGGTTCTTATTTGCTTGACTGACTCTCATGTACATTTAAGGATGATAAAGGCATAGCAGAATGCAACAGTGACTTTTAACAAGCACGCTTTGAAATTCAGTTATTTGCAGTATCATTAAGGGGGGGGGTTGTGTAGCAAACTCAGGCCTAGAATATTTCCTAGGCTACCTTCTAATAAAGAGAGGTAATGAGAAATAAACAGAAGAGTATCTTCTCTAATGAACATTTGTACTCTTGTTTAGGTATTGCTCACAGGGACCTGAAGCCTGAAAACATCTTGTGCGAATCTCCAGAAAAGGTACCTCTTGGGTCTCTTGACCTTCTGAAGTGTATTTTTTTAACTTGGTTTCCAAAGGCAGCCCTCACGTTCTGTCTTTCTCTTCTTGAAGACTTTTGAACCCACTAGTGATTATCAACTAAATTTAATAGAACTGAAGCCCAAAAGAGATTAAATTCTTCTGTGAGCTGTAAAAATGTGAGCATCTGGCTAGGAGGTAAAATGCCAGCTGTTCTTAGAGAGGACATGGCAGTTGCAACTTAGCACCTGATCTGTTCTGAGGCAGTTCCCAGATGGACAGGCAACATTTACAGGCCAGCTGGTCATGTTACTCAGTTCCCAAATTGCCCCAATATGTACTGGCGCTTGCCTAGCCAAATGAAAAATTAATGTAGTAGGGTTAGATACTGGGAATATGGGAGCAAATAGGACAGAGGAGGCAAATGCAAGGAGTGAAATATACCTGTAAGAGCCTGGGTTTCACTAGTCGTCCTGTTAGAACAACTTGTTTTTTGTCTTAGGGTTTTCCACGTGGTGCTGTGTTCATATGTATTGTGTTAGTCCCAGTCTTATGGACCTCTGGCTGTTTTGTCCTTGTTTTTAGGTATCACCAGTAAAAATATGTGATTTTGATCTTGGTAGTGGGGTGAAGCTGAACAGTGCGTGTACTCCAATAACTACTCCTGAATTGACAACACCGGTAAGAGACCTGCTGTGGCTTTGTACTTTTTCTCTTCTCCCCAGAGGAGAGAAGGGCTTGCTGCAACTACACTCGGTGGTGGATAGTTCGTTTAAAGCAGGTGTATGTGGGGTAAATACTGTGTTGGTAAACTTGCCTGGATTTCGGGTCCAAAAGCTCAGGAACTCATTGTGTTAATTCTCCTGTTGACTAGAAAGTAACACATTGATCCTATTTGTCTCTTATCCTACCAAACAAAGAAGCTTTTGTGGAGGTTTATGGACTGAATTTGAATCTTAGTTTTGTGTTCATTTTCCCCATATTTGGGTTCTGTAGCTAAACCGAGGAGCGAAGGGCAATGCGAGCTCTGTAATCGGCGTGTGGCTTTGTAATACACATTAGTTTGAAAGGCTACAGTGCTATGCTCTTGGCATTACTGTGAAAGAAAAATCTGACAGTTTTGCAGGAGTCTGTTAAAGAAATCATCTCTCGTGATACACTTGTTTACTTTCTGAATGGCCTGGTAACTAATGGATTAGATTTGAAAACCTGAAATACGTGAATTAGTATTTTGACCCTGTATAGAGGGTCATAGATTCGTATGGAACTGCTTATGATTCTGCTAGAGAGCAGTAGGAACTCTTTTGCCTTCTGTTAGGTCTCTGTAGTCCTTACACCTGAAATGTGTTAATTTTTTCCTATGCAGTACTCTCACAAAATGTTTCAAAGCTCTTGGCAATTCTATTTAACCTTTGCGGGACGCAGCAGTTGTGGTTCAGCGTAACAAAATGAGACCTGCAGTGAAAGTCAGCACTAAACTTCAGTAGTCTCTGATGCCCGATTTTTGCTTTTAGATCAAGCTGCCCACTACAGAGAGGAGAATGATAAATCTGAGTCTTTTGATTTGACCTTCCCTTTGAAAACATGCTTGAATTTGGTTTCCTAGTGTGGCTCTGCAGAATACATGGCACCCGAAGTGGTTGAAGTCTTCACGGAGGAGGCCACGTTTTATGATAAGCGGTGTGATCTTTGGAGCCTGGGAGTCATTCTGTACATCATGCTCAGTGGTTACCCCCCTTTCGTGGGCAACTGTGGCACGGACTGTGGCTGGGACAGAGGAGAAGTCTGCAGAGTTTGCCAGGTGAATGCACATGTCCTGGGCATATGTGGGAGAGCATAGTTTGCCCCATCAACTTAGGGTGCAAGATGTGCCGTAACACCAGCAGTGATAAAAGTTGAGGCCCAGGAGAGTGTCCATGCAGGGCCTGAATTTATCCTTTCTAAAAACTGAGCACATTGACTGCACTGTCACAGGGAGGGTGGGAGGGAGGGTGTTTTCAGCAGACAATATATCCTGTCCATCTTAGGATGCACTCAATTGCTCTGTGGAGCTGTCTGTCATGCTCTGCTGACTCCGTAAGGAGGCTGGATGGTATCAGTTGTCACTCACCACATTAGGTGGATAAAGTTGAGTGAGAAGAATGCCACCTGAGAAGTCTTCTGATTGCAGTCTAGTTGCTATTTAAATTAAAGAAATTTTCCTTTACTAGAACAAGCTTTTTGAGAGTATTCAGGAAGGCAAGTATGAGTTTCCTGACAAGGACTGGTCACATATATCCTCTGAGGCCAAAGATCTCATCTCAAAGCTGCTGGTTCGCGATGCCAAAGAACGACTTAGTGCTGCTCAAGTTTTGCAACATTCATGGGTTCAAGGAGTATGTATCCCCCTTTGTATTTTTTTTTTTAAAGGCTTATTCTTCTTGATTATTCTTCTTCCAAAGTGACAAACAAACTGTTCCCTGTCTCTGAACTTTTAATAGAGTCATTGTGTGGTTTAGTGCTCTTATCTTGATTAATTAAACGATACACAGTGGCTTTATTCTTTCTGGAGCTCTGTGTGGTAAATATTTGGATGAATCTGTCAAGCTTTAAGTGTTTTTTTTTTCATTATTGCTTTGTGCATTTTAAATGACTTTTTTGTGAATATCAAGCACTGCAGTACACAAATTACTATGTTACTCATTAATACAGTAATGCAGAATGCTGGTAGATATGGCTATAAAAGAACAGCAGTGTCCTCTTTAGTTTTTTACTTACAAACTGTGGTATCGTCTTGTGAAGGGAGACAAATCTGAAACCTGATTTGTGAACCAACAGTGATTCGTAAACCCACTGTGAATTAGTTGATATGCAATAGCCATTAGTTGTAAAGATTTGAGGGAGTTCCCTGTTTTTTATCAAGATTTCTTGGGAGAGCTTGATTCCCAGCTGCTAATACATAACTAACTTTTCTTAAATGTTTCTCCAGCAGGCTCCTGAAAGAGGATTACCTACCCCTCAAGTTCTTCAAAGGTATTTTTTTTTAAATGTCTGTAAACTTGGCCAAGAATCATTACTGAAAGAGTGGGGAGAGATAAGAGGTGACAAATGACAGGGTAAGATCCCTGGTTGAGAGTGGAGCTTCATAAATGTGCAGCACAGATTTTGTTAAGAACGTCAGAAATATTAAAGCTCTGTTTTTCCTTTGCGATCTAATCTTGCTTGTTTGTGGGAAAGGCATTGGAGAGGATTCCTGCAGTGCAGTGCTAATCTTTAACAGGAAATAATGATGGTTTTGGCAGCTTACTGCCCAGGAGGGGGAAAAAAAGCCATAAAGACATGCGTTATCCAAAGAGACTACGTTCTAATGGGTGAATAATCATCATATACACAGACTCAGATCTGACCTCCATTGTAGTTGGTGATAATCGCAGTATCAATTTAACTGTGAGCAGGGCAAGCCTCATTTAAAGTGGCTTGATGGCAGATTCTGTGTTCCAGAGACCCTGAGTCACACATCTCTCTTTATTTCCATGTTTGCCGCTGGCAATTCCAGGTGGTTCTTCCCATCAGAAATGCACTTCCTTAAGCCGGGTGTGCAATTATAGTGGGATTGCAGTTCTCCGAAGACAGACAACAGTATTGCCCCATGCACCTATCCTTTTTTAACATCTAGAAATTAAGCATGGCATTTTGGGTGGGTTCCTGGGTTTCCATCGGAAGACCTTGGCATAACGAGGACCAGAACTGCGGCTGTTTCCAAAATCCCAGAGTGTTTTTGTTAAGCATTGCTGGTCCTTGTGGTGAGGAGAGATGCAAATACGAACTGGTCATTTTGCCTGCTGCGTCGATGTTTTGAAAAGAGAAATGAAACTGCCTGGAAATAGTTATTCTGCTGTGAGGGTAACCAGATGAAGTGACTCCGTGCGTGTTCTAACTGCTTTCTCCTTTTCTCTTGAAAGGAACAGTAGCACAAAAGACCTGACACTTTTTGCTGCTGAGGCTATAGCCCTTAACCGCCAGTTGTCTCAGCACGAGAATGAACTCAGTGCGGAGCAGGAGAACGTTGCCCATGCTGTGTGCTCCATGAAGCTTTCTCCTCCGTCCAAGTCCCGCCTCGCCAAGCGCAGAGCAATGACGCACGCCACCAAAAACAGTGACTTCCAGCCAGTTACCCAAAAAGCCTTTTAAACTTCTTTCCTGCTATGGATTGGCAAGATCAGTCTGTGTTCTTATTTGGATTTTCAGTGCTGATAAAAGCTTCTCTGCTTCTGACTCTTTGATTAGAAGCTTGCTCTTGTGATGTGACTTTGTAACTTCAAGGGGACAGCTTTTTATAGGAATGTTTTTTGCCTGTCAGATTTGGTGCATTAAGATAATTTAACTGATCTTTTTAAATGGAGAAGATGGGTTTGCTACTGCATTATCTGAGGTGATAAATCACTAAGCTTTCCTTATTCTCTTCTTAGAAGAGCATACTTTTAAATGCAAACTTGAAAACATCAGGAAAAAAAACCAAACGCTTCCTTACTTTTCCCAGCAGAACATCACATCTCTCCCTGCCTATGGCTGCTCTCCTTGATGGCACATCTTGCAAGGTACTGCTGCTAGTGTCAGCAGCAGGGACTGTTTTCAACCAAGAGTGCCCTTCCCTCTTTCTGTAGACTCAGGAAATGAAGATGGTGACTGGGTGGATCTCTGTCTCCATTACCTTCATTTGGCTTAAATTGTAGGAGGATGGTGGTGTAAAGGTGCAAGGATTGCTCAGGCTTGTAGAGATGAAGAGGATGGGGTTGCTTTTTTATCCTCTTGATAGTTTGTGTGTCAGTGTGTGAGATGAAAGCTGGGAGAATGTTATTTCTTTATCTGACATCTTTTTGTTAACTAAAATGTACTCCATATCATCTAATTTTAATTTTTTTTTTGTTCAGAGTGTCCCTTTCTGTAGCAGATACATTCTTAAGTCTGATAATCATGGTATAACAGACTGTTTATATAACAGTTTATATTTAGTATCTGTTTTTTTCTATATTAATGCTATCCTCAGTTATACCTTCCTTTCTGTAAACTCACGTTTCGCCAAGTCCTTTTGTGTGTGTTACCTGGAGTTCTTAATGTGAATGGACAGGCTTCAGTGAATATTGGTCTGTGAATAATTTAGGATTATCAAATGCAGAGGTACGTCTGTGCAAAAACGGTGCTGCAGCTGTTGCATTCTGCCTCCTGCAGTGATCTCAGGCTGGATGTCTATAGTACTGTGGTGCACCATGGGTCAGGAGTGAATTCGAAGGGTACTGGCTGAAAAGCTGAAGATTTTGAGTGACCAAGGTGAGGTGTCCATGGAGAAGGACATGGATGTTGAGCACTTTCTGAAACGTAAGCTGTGAAAATTGCGCCACTGAGGTGCCTGACATGATGCACCTTAAGCTTGCCAGCCGTTTCTGAAACCCTTTGCTCCAGGCATTGCGTGCAGGGTGGAGAGGGGGAAGAGGAGGCCCCCAGGTGCCAGCACAAACCCCTCTCAGGCAGAATGAGAAGGAATAAAGTAGCAGATCCAACAAGTGCTTGGAAATTGAAAGGTCAAAGCTGAATGTCTTTGCATGGCCTATTTGGAGTGGGTTTACATTATCTTTTAGCAGTGTGCATACAGCTATTTTTATACAACATGCAGTATTTTGTGACTAATATTAAAAGTTGTTATTTAAAAGATTTTATACATTGTGCCAGTGGACAGATGATAAAATGTATTTTGCTTTGTTTTTATTAAAATGCTTTAAGTTATGGATTTAACACATTTGGCAGTTGTGGGTTTTTTCCTCTTGATTTTTGGTGACATACAAAACCAGAGAATTACTTGCTTCCTCACTTCTCTGTGCGACATTGGATTTAAGACAATTTAAGTCTCTGAAGACTAAGCATACCTCCCTTTTCTATGGCTATATTGCTGTATCAATCTCTGGAGGCTTTTCTGTAATCTCAGCTTTCTTGAGGATATGACTGCACAGAGAGGACTGGAAGGGATCCTGTGATCCTTTTGACCTTCATAAGAGATCAGATGCCTGAGGGCCCGTGAGATCAGGACCTCACCTGCGCTATTAACATTTCACGTTCTTCCCTTTGATTTATGCATGAAGCAAAAATCCTGAAGTTTGGCCAGGAGTGGTGGTATGATGCAAAATACTCCTCTTGGATGGAGCCCTCTCTCTCTCTTCCCAAAACCCAGCATGGAAAGTGAATCCAATGTGTGCTTCTGCTGCACGGTGAGGAAGAAGCTGGCTTGCTGCCAGGTTTGCTTTCCCTTTACAAAAGAGACCTTGGGAGGAAGGAGTGAAATGTTAAAATAAAATCTTAGTTCAGGTGTATTCATGCTGTATTGGAATTGCAGTTCAGGTGAGCAAGTACTCTGAGCTTGAAGCTTCTTCTGGTGCAAGGAGAACGCTTCAGCTGTTGGACGTGTGCAGTGCAAAGGATTTTAAGCCCTGGTGTGTGAAACATTGGGAGTGCCCAGCAGGACTGGGCTAAATGGTTAAACTTTGCCTGAAGATTATGACAAGCCCTTCAGCTGACGGCTCGGGGCCTGTCTGGCTCTTGCAGTGCTCTGGGCTGCCTTGCAGATGCTGCCAGCAGCTGCCTCCACGTGTGACCTGTGTTAGAGCATCCTTGCTCCCCACTGGTACCTACTTGCAAACTCATCTGTTCAGTTTGAAGCTACGATGTCGGGCTTCTCACTGAAGAGCTGGAATCTGGACATGCTTCTCCTGCAAGGCAGTAACTGCTGGCCAAGGGGAAGGCGAGCAGTGGGTAGTGGTAAATGCCAGAGCTGTGTAGTGCGGGGAACTGAGTAAACCTCCCCAAACGGGGAGGAGGTGTTAAGCTAATTGTTCTGCACTCCGGTGTAGTCTAGTTTTGATGGCCTCTTGCAGAGTGATTTTTAAGTTTCTTTGGAGAACTATGACTAAGAGTTTATAGTGGAGTTTGAGTGGGAAAGGTTGTTTGGCAGGGTAGGTGGGATGCAGCACTCCTCGGTGCCCTGTGACATAATCACATCAGTCCATCTCTGACAAACAACGGTGAGTTTTAGTTCCTTTTCCAGTGAAGTCTGAAGAGAGCAGGGATCCCAAACCGGGTGGCAGGTCCTTTATTTGTACTTGCCTTCCTTTCAGAGGAAATCCTCCTGCCATATTCTGATTGAGTGCTTTTGTTTGAACTGTGCGTTAAAACCACCTGCTTCTCCTTCCCCCTTCCTCCAGGGCAAGAGAGTGGCAGAGAGCACAGGAGACCTTGTAGTGGTGGTATGAGAGTGATGTTGCAGTGATACAGGTGTTAGGTCTTTCTTTGCCTCAATGTGAGAAGTCAGATTCAGCTGATGGTCCAACAGTCTCTCATCACAGTTGTCTCTTTCTCTCTGATTTTTAGCTTTCAGTGAGAGTTCAGCTTTCTTTAAGTGTTTTATCCCCAGAAGACCTAATTTTGTAGACCTTCGTAATGCTTCATGGCTGTGAGGAAGAGGCACTTGTTTCTAGGTGGGAAGTCGCAAACCCAGAGACTCGATGATCTGTCCTTTTGAAGTAGTGCTGGGTTTGCTCTTGTCACCTGGACATCTCGTGTGCAGGCAGCCTGTAGAACACAACTCCACCTCGTCACTGAGTCCCACCCTTTGGGAAAGTCCACCCCTTTGGAAAGGACTCAATCTCTGTACCACACTTTTTCAGTTACTGTTGATAAAATAGACCAGGCAGTTTCTGTGGGCTCCCTGGCTTGTGAAAAATGAAAGGGGCTGCAGAAAACATCTTTTGGTGGGGAAATGGGTTGGGGAAGGCAAAAAATGACTTTCAAGAATTCAAAAATATGTTCTGACCAACAAGGAGAGCGGCTAAGCTGATCTTTCCTGCTGACAAAGGTGGCCTCCAGGAAAATTCTCCTTCCCCTTCCCAAGCTTTTCCTGGGAGCAAACCAAGGAAGAGGCATCGACATGATTAAGGGAGGGGGGATAATTTCAAACAAATGGCAACCAAACAGCACTAGTTTCGAAGCACTCTCCTCCTCTCCCCTTGAGCTGGTGGCACAGGATGCTCCGTAGGATTTTGCTGACCTTTATGTGCAATGTTTCATAAATTGTGTTCAGTCTTGTTCTTATCGGTGCAGTTTCTGCATTGTTGGTTGCATAAAAGGAAGCTCCTGTTTTCCATTGTGTGGTATTTTCTTCTGCTCTCTCTTCCTTCCCCACATGTTTATTGAATCCTTTATCAGCGATGGAAAGATGCCGTTGGGTTTTCTGAGGGCTGTGGGTGGGCTGGCTTTCAAGGTAGAGAGCAGCTTGGCTAATTTTCAAAACTAATAATTTTTGTTGGGCCACTCCTGTGGCAGCAACAGGCTTCAAATTTGGCTTCCATGGAAACATACTGCCATGGAAACTGAAAGGCCTGACGATCCTGAGGAAATAGTTGCTTGTACCCTTCCTTCCCTCCATCGTTCTGTTTCGCATGCGATGTGTGTGTGTTTGGCCACCTCTGCCAGATTCAATCAGTGCATTTAAACAGCTCCAAGCACGGAAATGCGCTTCTCTGGGAAGAAAGCAAAAAAACATAATTTGTGGAATCAATGGTGGTGTTTCACTGATGTTGTTTGCAGAAAATCTGTTGCAAGTCTGGAAGTAGATGTCACTGAGCCACAAATTGCCCTTCCAATGGGAAAAGAACCCTAAAAGAAATGCTTCATCTTTAGATTATTTTGTGGGGGCTGGCTGGCATGGGCTGGCTCAGGGAATCAGACCCTGCACCCAGTCCAACATCTGTAGTGTTGAGGATGGTGAGAATTGACTCATCCAGTGGTTCTGAGACAGTGCCAGTGTTTCACTGGGTCCCATCCAGCTCATTAATTTGATACTAGGTTTTCCACCGCTGCCTGCCACAGCTGCTTTCACACCAAGATTGGTTAGCGAAGCTTGGCAAGGTGACAAACAGCCCCAGTTCAGCAACTTCGCTCTGATTCAGTCTGGAGTGGGAGGGGAGAGGAACAGGGCCTCCCAAGACGTTTTGCTAAGCGAGAAGCAGGGCGAGGACAAGGACTCTGCATGGCAGAGGATGCAGTGGAGCTTGGAGCCTGATGCTTTCTGTTTATGCTTTCTGTTTGGTACAGAACAAAGCTCATGCCCTCACCTGGCACTACACCAGGTTGGCATCCTATGGCCA